AAAGTTAGGCAAATGACATGTACCTATTCATTAATTGTTGATGCATATACACCACTATTATCACTACTCGTTAATCATAAGATTTAAATGCTAACATTTCACAGCTCGAAACCAAAAACACTCGGTAGCAAGCATCTTCTTTACCCTCGGTCCACTCCACGCCACGAAAGTGGATCGCTTTATTCATATGGTGTGAAATCCTATCCATTTTTTTGGGGAACGTGTCTAGGTTTTTTCGTTTTGTTTTGTTTTTTTTTTTTTTTTTTTTTTTCTTATNCGAAATATAAGGATTTACTTTTGCTAAGGTTTTTCCTTAGCAATTGTATAAGGATATATTGTCCTTTGTTCACAATTATTTTTCTTCAAACACCCATGTAGTTCACGGGCATTGTACTAGTCTGGCCATTAGATCACAACAAAAAAATCAATCCGAAGAGAATAATTAAAATCTATCTATATAAAATAAGAATAAGGCTAAATCTTTTTTAGAACGAGTTTTCCGCCAAAATCATTAATGTAAGTTTTATATTCTTTTTTAGTGTTTTCAAATAAAGTACATATAAAACTTAAATGCATTGTCATACTCTCGATTGTTGTTTGTCATGCCATATTCTTGGTTTTTGTTGTAAAAGAAATTATCGGATTTCGTGTTGTGTAAATTTTGAATTTATTTAAATCAAACCATTTTAATGATATCATACTCTATTATTTTATGGTAACGATTTTGTTGAGTGTAACTTTTTCTTTCTAGCAGAATTTTAAAAGCGCCGATTAAAAATAAAATCTCATTCTAATCCTGGACAATACATATATTTTTTTTTATAAAAAAATTTAAAACTGCAAAAGAATTGGACATATCATATTCTAAAGTTTATTTTTATATTTTTTTTTTATAAAAATAAGCTATATGTAAAAATGGGATGTAAATAACTAAACAGTTGGACCCTTTCCATGCAAAACGTAACAATTTTTTTGAATAAATAGGATTCAAATTTTCAGGATACACGATTAGCATTCAAACATATCCTTTACATATACAAAAGATATGAATTTCATATCCTTATTTATCACGGAAAAATTTATACATTATGAATCCAAACAAAAAAATGATTGCCGTATTCAAAAGAGATATACACAAGATCCATGCAAAATGAAATTTAGATATACACAAATTAATTTATTTATGAAACACTTTTTTTCTTAAAAAATGTGATTGACATGTCCTCCAATTCATTTATTTAGTTTAGAGTTACAAATGATAAAATACCATTTTTTTAACGTAATTATTATTGTAAATATTGTTTTAGAAAGGATACAATCGAAATTTCAAATATCTATTAAAACATAACAAAAACAAATATGTTCTAAATATTGGAATGAATTTGGTATAAAAAATGAGAATGATTGGAAAAAAAAAAAAAAAAGATATACTCAAAATCCACACTTCAAAGTAACAATTTTTCTTATATTTCATATAAAATTAAACTTCACCCGATAAATCATATTTTCACTATAATTTTACTTCAAGGTAAGAATTAGAAGAATGAGGTGTCTATGCAATTCACAATTCTCAAGTGGAGAACAATCTTGATAAATATTGGTCTACAATTGTCAAGTGCAAAATAATTTTGCATAGAAAACAACGAGATTTTTAATATTATACGTGTAGTGCCTCTTTCGATTTGTGTAATTTCTCGTATTTTATTTCATTATATGCATATTTTAGTTATTGCTATGCCTTATTGTTATTTAATTGTCTGCTTTTGGTTTATTTTAGTGCTACTCTTATTATATTTTGTGTGCAATGTTTGAACTTTATTATCATGTGCATAACTTGATTTATAATTGCTTGCTCGGTTTTATTACTGCTTGCTTGTATTTCATTTTATTTTTGCTTGCCTTCAATTATTGTTATTTGCTCGTTTTTGTGTGATTGCCTTGTATGATTAATTGCATTGCTCTTGTATTATATGGTGGTTAATTTTTATTTTTATTTTATGTTTACGGTAATTTTTGGTTCAATCGCGTAGAACCGTTTTCGATCCGTTCGACCCGTTTTTGAGACATTTTATCCGAACCTCAGAGATTTTTAATTTGGAGCATTCCTCCTTGTTAAATTCGGCCTTATGGCCTTGTAGAACCATCCCAAATACTCAGCATAAACCATCCCATTTTACTTAAGTTTGGATAACTTTTCTTACGTTTATATTTTGCACAGGGGCGGACGCAGACTCGCAAGACTGAGGGGCACAAATGTAACATTTACAAAGTGCAGAAAAAGAATGATATTTATTCTCTGCATGTTTTTATATATTATATCACTCATAATTATATAAATACAAATCTCATTAAATATATCTTTTTCAAATACCAACAATTTTTTTCCTTTTGCATTGAATATTCTTACAACGTCAGCATTCGTGGACTTTTTTATACTAAAGATAAATATTTTATTAATTAAAAAATCAATGACAAATACAATTTAGTAGCTAATTTTAAACATCCCCTCTATATATAATTTCAGAATGCGCTGAGCCTACGTGGCAAATTCTCATGCTTCGGAATCCTATTTGGCAAAAAATCATGCTTTGGAGTTAGGCTTGGATATAAATTAATATTTGTATAAATTGTATTTTAATATCATTTCCTATTATAACCATTGAATTGCAAATATATTTTAAAAGTTGATAACTTTTGTATTTCTTATCGATTTTACATATATTATATATCAAATTATTCATATTTTGATGAGCTTCGATTTGACATTCATATTGTATATATAAAATAAATAAATTATATTTATCTTTATAATAATAATAAAATTAGTTATTAAAATAAATTAGAAAATAAAATTAATTATCAATTAATATATTTATGTTTAATGTAGTCATATGTTATAAAGTAGAAAATTTATTATAATATAACACATATAAGTCGTACAAGTAACATGTGTCATACTAAAATATATAACAATATATACTCCCTCCTATTTTTATTATTTGTCGCTTTCGCTTAATTGATCATTGATAAAATAAATGTCGTTTTAGATATTTTATTCATATATTTTCATTTTTAACCCTCCATCTAATACACAGTGTCTCTTCATATCTCATCTCCATCGTTTCCCATCAAGAAAAAAAATCTTAATTAGTGTGTTGCATTTGAATTGATATTATGAAGTCCTGTTTGTATTTCACTATTTATTTATATATATATATATATATATATATATATATATATATATATATATATATATATATATATATATATATATATATATATATATATATATATATATATATATATATATATATATATATATATATATATATATATATATATATATATATATATATATATATATATATATATATATATATATATATATATATATATATATATATATATATATATATATATATATATATATATATATATATATATATATATATATATATATATATATATATATATATATATATATATATATATATATATATATATATATATATATATATATATATATATATATATATATATATATATATGAAATACTTTTATCTATGAATTATGCCTATTAATAATATATTACTAATAAGGATATAAAATACTTTTATCTATGAATAGATACAAAATAGTAATATATATCCTTATAGCAGTTTTGCTATGGAACCATCGGATGACTCAGCTTATGGAGTCATCCATAGTTATTGACAAATGGTGTATTGACACGTGTCCTGCAATAAATACACTTTGGACAGGTGTCAATATATTAAGTGATGGATGGCTCCATAAGAAAACCATCCGATGGCTCCATAGAATTTTTGATCCTCATAGATAAAATTTAAATTTATTTATCAAACTAATAAATTGTATCAAATAAAACTATAAATTATATTATAAAGTAATAGAAATTAGTATGTATTCTTTTAAAAATGATATTTATTTCAAATCTAATTGATATGTTGTCAATATAATAAAAATAAATAATTATTATATAAATTCTAAAATTACATATAAAGTTAAAAAAACTGTGAAGCACGACTGATACGACACTTGATGTATTAGGCATCTAATTAAGTAAAAAAAAATAATCTATTTTGTTTAATATTAAATAAACATATTCTACACTTATGCATATACATATCATCATAATATTTCTATTTACTTAAGATATATATTATTGTACTTATGTAATAGTAAATAATATCGATATTTTTATATGATGTAAGTAAAAAAATTCAACACAGGTTGACATTTTCATTTAATGTACGGATGTTTAATTATTATGATTAAAAAAATATAGTTTGATAATTTAATTAAAACCTAAAGTAATGTTTTATATAAAATTAAATTATTTTAGTTTTTAAAAAAATATAAAATTTAATATTTTTTACAAAAGCTTTCTAATTCAACACCCGTGTAATATACGGGTATTGTACTAGTATAATTATAATTTAATTCTTCTTTTTAAAATTATTTAATATTTGATAAGTATATAATATTTGATAATTATAACTTATAGATTAATAACCTTCAATTTATAAATTTTAACAAATGATATGTAGCTTAGCTACGGGATGGTACGTGGAGATGACTTCCAGGGCTTGGAATGATTACTTGAGCCGGTAAATACAATCCGTACATCGCACATGTTACGTACTAGTTTGTTATACAACAAAGATAGAATGTTCACAAATGACCAAACAAAATTGTTACCAACTACAAAAATCAAGAGTAGAAAATGAAATATTCTCTTGGAAATTGGTAGTATCAAAGAAGCAAGAAAAAAAATAAAAAGGTATTTATGCTGCACATCTCTCCGTGAAATATCGTGTTACACATCTCGGAGTTCCTCAGGCATGTGAAATTTACAAGTCCTAAAATCTTTAAATTATGGACAGTGTTAATCATTGAAAAAATCCCGACAGTGCAGGGCCACTTGAGCTAGACGTAGAACAAAATGGTATGTAAAATAAAGCATATATACTTTGCGAGTCTCAGCTTGCAGGCGTGTTATCCTGAATGGCAGCAGCAAGTTTATCTCTGTCCTCCTCGGGCTTTGTTCTCATTATAAAGGGCCGAGTAACGACTTTTTCATTGCTATCACCATCATCCTTTAAAGAAAACATGAAATTAAACATCATACATACAGTTGATTTAAATGGGCAACTACGTAAATATTAACATATCTGAGGATTTCACATTGCAAAAGATTGGCTTATTTGTGTAAAAAGAGTAGGCTACATTTTCTCTATTTTTAGGGGCTGTAGGATAAAATTATGCCTCCTTGAACAAAACCTTATCGTAATCACAAATCTTTACAGGAAATTAGATGTCTCACGGCTAAAATTGAATTTCCAACAAAATGGATTAACTGTGTTGCTGACTATTTAATAGGCTGAACATCTTAGTTTCTGCGTGATTTGACCAAATTGGTCATTCAAATGACCCCTCAATATCAAACTGTTAGAACAATACTAAGCTGAACTAAAAATGCATGCTTTCCCCTTCAGTTTTGTTAAATCACCCACATATGGGAACCCAGTATGCAGTGGAACTAATGATACAAAAAGAGACTTACGATATCATGAATTAGAGCGAACTAATGATACAAAAAGAGACTTAAATAATACCTCCAAATGTGAAAGGGCCATTATTATTATTATTAAAGAGAAATGCAGGTCTCAATGGGGTTCCAGAGCTTGCTGTTGTGGCTGCAGGAAACATAGGTTTGTCCGAAAACAATGTCGGACGAAACAATGTATGACTGCTTTTGCCAATTCCGAATGGAAACTCAGTCCGAGCAACTTAAGATGGAATCTTGGCTATACACCTTCGTTTCACGAAATTTGTTCTCAACCGATAAGCAGAATCACGAAAAATCTCCTACAATTGGAGACAACAAGTCACTAACAGTAAACTACAGAAAGTTACTTTGGTACCTAAAAATTTAAGTCCAAAAAATTTGTCTCCTCACTCATTGTGATGTATCAGTGAAAGGGATGCCGAAAAGAATAATGATTAATTCATTAATCTGAACATGTGCTCCTACATAGAGGTTGGATACAGAGAGGATGAGAGAGATAGATAGAGACAGAGAGAGAGAGATTTTACTCAGGCCACTACATGCGGTGGACCTTCGTATAATCAATCATTTGATAACACGTGAATAACTGACGGAGCCACTCTTGGTCAAAACTACTCAACAAATAGTGGTAGTGATTCTAAAGGATTCACATCGGATAAGACAATCCCATGAGGATGGCAGGGTCAGTATTATTATGGTGTCTAGCAGTACTAATAACTAAATTTAATGTTTTTTTAAAATTACAAGAGCTTTTTGTGAAAAATATGTGTTTAGTATGAATAGCACCAAATGCTGGCCAAGAGTCACAATCAATGTCTGCCGCATGCTCTTTTACACCAAAACAAATTGGCCGAAGTATAATGAGATTGCCAAGTACTTACGTAAACAAAAAAGTTCACCAAATAATGTCAGGTCGACATCCTTGTAATCACAAAATATTCCCATATAATAATAACTACAAACTATAGAAATGACCCCCAGGATGACTTCAACACAGCCGAATGGTGCACTAGATGACATAGAGATAGTGAGTAAAATTGCATATACTGATAAATTACCTTGATGCATAGAGCACGGTTTAAGTAATCCTCCACTCCATCCTCCCAAAGCTCATCTGGATGGTTTTGTAATTGACTTTGTATCCAACTGATCATGTAAGAGTTCACAACATTACCTAACAAATCTAAATCATGTCAGAAGGAAATAGAAGAAGTACACTACACTACTACAGCACATCTCAGGTATCGATATAAATCACAGTAGTCACAAACTTCCATTCTATGACACATAACATAGCAGAGAAAGCAAGCAAAAGAACATGAACTGATACAAATAAACCTCAGATGATTTTACAGTTTCTAATTTTCAAACTTGTGGTACCGCCAACAGCATTACAGTTAAACATAAAGACACGATCTTAGGAACAGAAAACTTTTTGCCCACTTAAGCATGACAGTGTCAAATTACTGAGGTCCACCCAGCACACAAAATTTCAATGTTCGCAACTCCACCCTGCTACAAACAATTTCATCCATCTAAGATAAGCTGGGGTCAACACAAAGTACAAGCATTACACAAAACGGATGGCCACAGTTCAGTAATTTGAACCAAAAGTTCTGCAGTCCACCCCAGAACGAAGCACACAATCCCTACAGCTAACTCAAGAAACTCAAATAACTAGCAAAATCAGTACTCCAGGCATTAATAATTTAAAAACAAAAAAACAAAAAAAAAAAACAAATGAGTGAGTGAAAAGATATAAGCAGCAAGAGACCTCGCAAACTGGATATTGAGATTTCTCACATGCCATCTTGATGATTTATCTCTCAGTGGCAGTGCATCCAGTGGCAGCTGCCGGATAGATGTTTCTGCATTGGCATTTCCAACTCCAGGAACTGAAACATCGCTTCCTGAGACCATGAGCACAAAACAGTATCCAACATTAAGCAAGATGATCACAGTTTTCAAACACATCGTCAATTATGGAGGGTAAAAAACCAAAGCGTAGAATTTAAGTACACTCTCAACTGAACTAACATCATTTATCGGTAGAAAAAAACCAGTACAGAATTCTTTTATTGAATGGGAAAAAGTATTGTTAAATCACCCACATATGGGACCCAGTATGCAGTGGAACTAATGATACAAAAAGAGACTTAAGATATCATGAATTAGAGCGAACTAATGATACAAAAAGAGACTTAAGATATTATGAATTAGAGCGACTATGGTAGCTACTCTGTAAATATTCTAATTGGGAACATATTCATACTTGAAAAACTTGCAAACACAAACATCAAATCTTGTAATGAATATTTAATATCACAATGCACCATTTACGATTGCATGTAGTAGATACACGCTACATAGTGAATATGTATATATATATATGTGTGTGTGTTAAACATTCCATCAATTATATTAAAATAATACCTCCAAATGTGAAAAGGCCATTCTTATTATAGAGACGTGCAGCTTTCCATAGAGGCTTAGTCCGAGCATCTTCAGATAGAATCTTGGCTATACCCCTTCGTTTCAGGGCATTTGTTCTCAACCAATTAACAGCATCACCAAAAATCTCCTACAATTGAAGACAAGTCAGTACACTAACAGTAAACTACAGAAAGTTTTAGTTTTGCACCTAAAAATTTAAGTCCTCAAAATTTGTGTCCTCACTCATTGTGATGTATCAGTGAAAGGGATGCCAAAAAGAATAATGATTAATTCATTAATCTGAACATGTGCTACTATATAGAGGTTGGATACGGACAGGATTAGAGAGATAAACAGAGACAGACAGAGAGAGAGAGAGAGAGAGAGAGATTTTACTCAGGCCACTCTATGTGGTGGACCTTCGCACTTCCACTAGAAAGAATTAGACACCTCTCATATAATCAATCATTTAATAACACATGAATAATGAATGAGCCACTCATGGTCAAAAACTACTCAACAAATAGTGGTAGTGATTCTAAAGGATTCACATCGGATAAGACAATCCCATGAGGATGGCAGGGTCAGTATTTTTATGGTGTCTAGCAGTACTTTTTGTTTAATATTACAACAACATACTTTACAAGAGCTTTTTGTGAAAAATATATGTTTAGTTTGAATAGCACCAAATGCTGGCCAAGGGTCATAATCAATGTCAGCCGCATGCTCTTTTACACCAAAACAAATTGGCCAAAGGATAATGAGATTGCCAAGTACTTACATAAACAAAAAAGTTCACCAAATAATGTCAGGTCGACATCACAAAATATTCCCATATAATAACTAAAACTATAGAAATGACCCCCCAGGATGACCATCACAGCCGAATGGTGCACTAGATGACTTAGAGATACTGAGTAAAATTGCAGATACTGAGAAATTACCATGATGCTTTCAGCACGGTTTAAGTAACCCTGCACTCCATCCCCCCAAAGCTCATCTGGATGGTTTTGTAATTGACTTTGTGTCCAACTGATCATGCAAGAGTTCACAACATTACCAAACAAATGTAAATCATGTCAGAACGAAATAGAAGAAGTCTACTACACTACTACAGCACATCTCAGGCATTGATATAAATCACAGTACTCACAAGTCACAAACTTCCAATCTATGACACATAACATAGCAGAGAAAGCAAGCAAAAGAACATGAACTGATACAAATAAACCTCAGATGATTTTACAGTATCTAACTTTCAAACTTGTGGTATTGCCAACAGCATTCCAGTTAAACATAAAGACATGATCTTAGGAACAGAAAACTTTTTGCCAACTTAAGCATGACAGTGTCAAATTACTGAGGTCAACCCAGCACACAAAATTTCAATGTCGCAACTCCACCCTGCTACAAACAATTTCATCCATCTAAGATAAGCTGGGGTCAACACAAAGTACAAGCATTACACAAAACTGATGGCCACAGTTCAGTAATTTGAACCAAAAGTTCTGCAGTCCACCCCAGAACGAAGCACACAATCACTACAGCTAACTCAAGAAACTCAAATAACTAGCAAAATCAGTACTCCAGGCATTAATAATTAAAAAAAAGAAAAAAAAACCGAATGAGTGAGTGAAAAGATATAAGCAGTAAGAGACCTCGCAAACTGGATATTGAGAGCTCTCACATTGGCACTTGCATCTCTCAGTGCATACAGGGGCGGCTGCCGGATAGATCTTTTTGCCTTGTCGGCATCAAATTTAGACCCCATTAGTGCTATCTTGCTCTGCGTCTGCACAGCTACATAACCTTCAACACACACACATTGACAAAGAAAAAACTACTTAATAAACTACTTTGATTTACCAAATGCCAAAAACTCAAACTCTTCTATAATAAGATTTTTTCTAATTTGCATTATAATGATATGGTTTATTTAGCATACTCAGCAATTAAAATATATTTTACAAGAATTTCACTATAGAAATAAATCAAAATAAAAAAAAAAAAAAGTGATAAAAAAATAATCATGGTTACCAATAATATACAAATAAATTCTAAAAAACAGTTAACATATTTCAATTTTAATTTTTGACCATTAGTAAAACTATTTAATTAATGTATCTTGTCAATTTAAGATCTCTTAAATGATAAATTATATTAATTTAAAGAATAAATTATTTTTTATATATAACGAAATAAAGCTTAGAAAAAAATTATATTGACAAAGATTAATTCACCAATTTGATTTCATCTGATTAATTGGAAGAATTCTCTAGATAAAAAGTGAATATTTGCGGAAAAAATTAATATTATGGTTAGAAGTTAAAATATCAAACTTGTAATATTTATCTTGACCAAAATATATTATCACCATGAATTACAGAAAATCAATCTTGTAATTTATTATAATGTATATCAATAAAATTATTTCAGATATTAATAAAATTATTTGCAAAATAATATTTTTGATCATATCTGATTTGATTTTATTGAAAAACGTGTATATGGAAGCAATTAATGCATATATTTAAAAAGTTTTCAAAGAAAGATAAAAAAAAGATATGCATTAATTGCTCCCAAAATTTTTTATTATCATTTTTAGTAAATGGTTATTTTTATTATATATATAGGTAGATAGATTAAATAACAGTCCAACCCTAAACTGTCAAAATGTGCGCTTTGGGGGAGCTAAATGCTTGGATATAATTTTTTATTTTTATTTTTTTGATTTTTTGGTTCAGTTTGGTTAATTTTCAAAATGTGGTATAATTAATTGTTAGTGGGTATGCTAAAATAACATTTTAAATAAAATAATTAAAGTTTATTTGATGTAAAAGTAGGCGAGAGATGATTTGAAGCGATAGTTAGTTATAATTATGTGAGTGGATGAATAGTTAATTAAGGTTAATGTAGCGTGTAAGAATGATGACTGATATTATTTAATTATATTGATAATATTGATTGATGATAGTGAAGTTGAGTTAAAAATGTTTGGATTTTTTTGAAAATATTTGTCTCCAAGCATCCTCTAAGAGCCCGCCTCCTCAACAAGTATTGACGGCTCTAAGGACGAGTAAGAGAGGGTACCTATCCCACAATACACTAATACGAAAGTTGGAGAAATTGTTCGGGCTTCACATACATGCACGAGAAAGAAAGTTTACAACTAGCTAAGGTGCAGGTCAACCATCAACAAAACCCCATCTAAATTTCTTCTTACCCAAAGTGTTAGAAATACAAGTCTGGCTTGCTAAATATTGTACTAAAAATTCCACATATACATTCACCATAAATATTTAAATTATAACAAGCATTTTCTTACAGGCATTTTGAGCAGGGAGTGGTTTGAACCTCCACTCTTGAAGGACGGGATGGTCCTCAATGGAGTAGTAGACCGCGGCTTGAATAGTTTGCACAGGGCCACCATCTTCCTCGGCAGTCAAAGTCAAGAAGTACACCCCGGGCCTGGTCAGGACACGGACAGCCCTCTCGACTTTCACAAGCTTATATCTGTGACCCTGTTGTAATTTGGATTTTTAGTAGACAATGGAGCAACCAAGCTTTGAACAAAATAAAAATTGAAGCAAAATAAGGCCAGAATGATGTTCATGATTTGAGGTGATAACATGACAAAGCAAAATATATTTAAGGGCAGATTAGAAACGCACAGTCTCTTCACAGATATTCTGAATTGCTAACTCGGCTGCTCCGACAACTCTAGCATAGCCGCATTTATCAATATTGCATGTACCCTGGCGCATCATTTCCAGTGGAAGTGGTGAGAATGGAGATTTAAACATCGGAGGCGGGTAGCAATCCACGTCATAACCCTACAAAAACAAGAAGCAGCTCATCATCCATTTCAATCAAACAATAGAGCCCTGCAAATAGTTCTGATGCTTGTTAACTAATAAAATACACTAGAATTAACAATCATATATAGAAATGAAATTACAAGCAGGAGAGTGACAAATGACAATCAAAACCAATACTGCTATAGTTCAAAATCCTTTAAGATCAACTCTCAAACTCTGCATCAGCTAAGTTAATACACACACACATCTATGTACAACATAGCAAACAAAGCATAAACCTGATTTCAGAAAACAAACAACAAAACAAAAACAAAAAATAAGCCAAACCAACATAAAAAATATGATTAAACAAAATTAACGAATATATAAACCAGATGCAGCAACTTAGAGCTCCCCAAACACATTAAATTAAGGATGAAAAAAAGAGGACCAAGTAGGCGAGCAAAACCCTAACTATAAACAATCGAATTTCAACAAAAAAAATAAAAAATAAAAACCACCGGAAGAATCAGTATGGGGACAGAGAACGAGATGAAGAATTTTAGGGATAGATACCCTGGATTCGCGGACTTGTTTGAGAAATCTCTTGACCAACTCGATGGTATTGGGATGAATCTCCTCGCCGTTCTGGTAGAAATAGGATTCAGGGACGTCATAATCGTTCTTTTCGAACCAAAACTTGCGCTTGTACGGTACAAACAATCCCCACCTGTCATCGTCGAGAGTCGGGTCCGTCACCATCGTCATTGTTACCACGATGTGTTTGGCTCTCTACGTCTCTCCTAAATCACTTTACTAATGTTGCCTGCGATGTGGAGTCTCATCCCCTATTTATAATTTCCCAATTATCTTTTCCTTCTTTTCATGCACATTTACATTTCTTTTTCTCATATTAACATATATTATATTTTTTTTCTTATTTAATTTATACTCCCTCCTTTTTTTAATAGATGTCGTTTTGAGAAGTTGCACACTAATTAAGAATATTTTTTTTGCCAATAATAACCCTCATTAATGAGGATAGAGATGATGTTTTGAAAAAATATAAAGAGTGAATATGAAAAGACATAGTGTATTTATTAGATAGATAAGGGTAATAATGGAAAAATATGTACAAAAGATTCAAAACGTCATTTATTTAGACAATTATTGATAAAGCCAAAATGACATTTATAAAAAAAAAGAGGTAGTACATCGTAATTATAAAATTGCTTCTTCTTACTTTTAAAAATTTTAGAATTTATTTGTTTACATTTTATTTTTCATATATAATATATCAAATAAATTATCTTTTAATGATTTTCGATCTGATATTCATATTGCATATATAAAAAAATGATATTTATCCTTCAAATAAAATTTTAAATTATTTTATAAAACCAAATTAAAAAAATGTCAAATAAAACTATAAATTATCATAATAACAAAAATTTATTTAGACTAAATGACAACCTTGAAGATCTCGATGCTGAGGGCGGCGAGAACTTGGCGCCGGAAGTGAGATCCCTTGCGGAGAGCGAATTTGATCAGGTATTTACAAACCCACACATTTGAAAGATTACAAACCCACATTCCTAATCCTCCCACCACTGCTCGCAAATTGCGTTGTTTCATCATTTACACATTCCAAATCATGATCATCCCAAAAACTTAAGAATAAAGAAAGGAAAAAGAAGAAAAAGTTTTGTATTGAAGGATAATAGATAAGAATAAAACCAAGGAAAAAAAGATCACGCAAGTATCCCAATACTTGTGAATCCTTTTCATAGTGTTTTCTGGTCTTTTCTGGATAGTGTTTTCTGGTCTTTAAATTCACATAATTTCTGGTCTTTGCTCTTGAGTTTCAACTTTTAATTAAAACTTACAATTGTTGAAATTGCTCTCGATGCGTAGAAATTTGTTCCATAAGTTGCTATTTTTTCTCTGGGCACCCTCGACTGTTGTCCGAGCTCATTCGACTACTGTTCGGGTTCATTAGTTACATTAGTTGTGGAAATTAATACTACTACTTGCATCTGGCCTTCGACAATCGGATACCGAACAGTCAACAAGTCAAAACATTTCAAGGCTAAAACATTTAGGGGGTGATTGGATATGAATTCAACTAGTAAAAAACTAGTTTTTTTTTAACTATAGTTAATTTTGAAAAAAAGTAATATGGTTAGTTGTTAGTGGATATATTAAAATAATATTTAAATTAAAGTAATTAAAGTTGATTTGATGTAAAAGTAGGAGAAAATGATTGGAAATGATGGTTAGTTAAAATTATGTGAGTGGGTTAATAGTGAATTAAAGTTGATGTGATATGTAATAATAATTGTTTGATATTATTTAAGTATATTGATAATATTGAAAATAGTGGAGTTGAGTTAAAGTTGAGTTAAATTTGAGTTTTGAGTGGGATTTTTACTGTACAACTTATAAACAATCACGCCCTTAAAAATCAAACGAAAACTTTTTAGACACCGAGTGTAGAGTATCTATTATTGACACGATAAATGTCTAAAAACCAAAATTTCCTTTATACATGAGTACAATATCATTGCTGAGTGCTGACTAGTCTACCTAGCTGCAAATCATTTTCCAGTGTGAGATTCTTTTCATAATCCAACACTTAATCTTCTCATTATACATAATCAAACGCAAATTAACACGCCATAAACCACATTCTAAAGATGTATCACCACATCAGCTAAATCATCTTTATTTCTATCAAAAACCATATCATAATCACAATAATTAAAATCACTATTCATTATTAGCCACACAAAAACCTAATTAATTACTAGCGATAAAAGATCTGACTTGATCGTCGGCAGATTCTATCCCCCAACCGATTTCCCCATAACCGAGACAATCTCCCGACACTTTCTCTCTCCTCCTTTTCCTCCCAGACCCAACCGGCGGCCCGTTTATTTTCCCGGCATCCATCGGGAAATTGAGAATAGCTTTCCTTCCCCTCATCTTAAAGGCGGCACAATCGTACGCCCTCGCGGCATCCAAATCCGTGTCGTAAGTCCCCAGCCAGACCCGACAACCCTTCCGGGCCGGGTCGCGGATTTCCGCCGCGTATTTGCCCCACGGCCTCCTCCGAACCCCCCGGAATCGCCTGACGGGAAGACGAACTGGGCTCGTGATCTGGGGCTTTGTCTCAATTTCAGACGGATGCTCGTTGTGGGCCGGGGCCCGGCCCGTGAAGTCCGGCCCGGTTTGTTTGAGGCCCGAAGATGAGTCGGACAAGGATGAAGGGGACTCGATCGGGCTGCCGGAAAAGGATTCCGTAGAGGCGAAGCAGTCGTCCAGGAGGTAGCGTCGTATGAGTTCGAGAGTCGAAAACTCGTCGGCCGATGTCATGATTATAAAAATGGGAAAAAAAATTAAAAAACAAAAAATTGGGGAAAAATTTTCTTCTGATTAACCTGTAAGTTGGGTGACTTGAAATTGAAGGGGTTTGGAGTCGATATGAGCATATATATATATATATATATATATACTTTGGCTAATTGAAGGACTTTTATTTTGATATTTTACATTGACTATTGACGTTTTATATTAATTGTAGCATGGGGACATGAAAATATCTTGCGGCTGTGTATAATATTTTCGAAACTCAGGATAAATATTCTTTTATTTTATAATAATTGCGTACTATGGTTGCATTATATTCAATGTGTGCTATCTGGATCGTGACATTGTAGGCTAATCGTAATTCATCAATTAGTAAACAATCAATAATAGATTAACTATTACAGCTCTAGTGTAATCAACCAATAATAGAATAACTAGTACACCTCTACTCTAGTGTAAAAACACATGGATGTTGAGTTAGTAGATATAGACATAAAAAAGTATTTAAAATTATCTTTCTATTTTTTTTTAAAAAAAAAAGAATAAGACTTGCATTCTATAAGTTAATAATTGTTAAGCAGCTATCGGATTACTATAATCGCTTTTCTGTCACAATCTCTTTGGCCAGATATGTAATTTTATTCTAATCAAATTATGTTAATGCAAAGAAACAAACCTGTCAAATTGTTCCAAAACATCACAAATCAAGGAGGAGTAAATGAAAGAACAAAGTTAAATAAATTCCTCTGCCAATATTTAAACAAAATAATGTACATTTAGTAGCATATATGATATTATTTATCTCTGCAAGAAAATTCTAAAATTCTAAAAGGAAATCCCAGTTGCAACATATTCCAACATATTTTTTATGATTAAACTAATGTATATTTCAATATTATAAATTCCGTTGAACAAAATTAGAAGTAAAAATGTTGGAGGATTTAGTTTTTCTATGAATTTTGAAATAAATATAACCATGTTTCTCTACTGGAAATTACATATTCCCATAAAATTGATATAAACAATAAACTGTTTGTGTATAATCAGAAAGAATATTATTATTCTCCATTTGAATTTTTTATTGAAAATTATAACATTGGATAATAATTATCTATTGATATGTTGTTGTGTTTTCCATTAGAGTATGATAATTATTTCAATGTATTTTGTTTGAATAATATATTATATATATCATATATACTTAAACCTACGTCAGCCGTTTCATAATGTACATATAACTATAACAGAGAAAAAAAAACATTAATAATTTTGGCTGCACAGTATTTTATAATTCAATACGTCAGTATATTAGTTGAGTTTACACTATAATCTACTGGTACAGTCACATGTAATAAATTATAATAATTCCTTAATATTTATTTTTAATATAATTTTACATATCACATTCGCATGGTCTTCATATTCAATTATCTCTACACCTATAGCATTTTTATTTAAATTTAAAATTGGGTGGACCTGTTATATATATTTTCTATCAAACTGTGATGTAAAAATAAAATAAATGTGTTGACCATAAAATTTCGGTCCTAATTATGTAGTTTAATTTTTAGGATTTTTCAAACAAATGCATCAAATCTCCAGCTGATGCCTTGAAATCAATGGCAATGCCAATAACAAATTCGGACATGCAAGTTTTTCCCAACCAAATAAATTTTAGTCAAGTTTCTTACTTCACTGTCACTGCACACAAGATTCATACTATTAATTATATTTTTTCCGCCCATAACAGATTATTTTACTCGAATTTCTTTCATCATGAGTTAGAATATCTGCTTGTCCACATGAATTTGGAGTACTTTTTCCGACGGAAAAAAAGGAATAATAATAAATTAATAATATATGAACCAAAAGTCTGATTTGTGTATATTTTATAGTGGCAGTCAAGATATTTTTACATTTACTTAATACATCCAGTCAATTTTACTAGTTACTCTTTTTCAAGTTCGTGACATGTGTTGGTCAAAATTACATGTGATGCGCTATCGTTTCTATAGTAGGGATTGTTAATCTAAAATAACTAAGCACATAAACATGGATAAATAATTTGTTTAGGATTATATCTGCTTTTAAATAATTTGTTTAGGATTATAATTTGTTCAGGCTAGTTTAACTATTTTGTAACCAATCGTTTTAACGGCAAATTAATTATATATATTTGGTCATAGTTAACCTCAAAGTATTGTGTAGTTTATAGAATGCAAAATATTTTATGTCAAAGTTTACGAAAGTAATGAATACTATTTATTTGCACACTTATAGGCATACAATACGTGAGTCGATAAATAGTGGTGACTGATTTTTATTATTCAATTGTATTAATAGAATTGAGGAGAAAATGTTGGATTTGATAAATAGTGAATTTTGAATTAAATAATATCGCAAAAAAAATATTACAGCAAAACAAAATAAAAAATATTTTATTTTCAATTAATGGCACTTGTTTTTACTTGAGTATAGTTGCATACATAGTCTGCTTCTCTGTTCATTCCTTCCATATTTTCTTTTAAATATTGTACCATTTGTTGTGACTAAAGAACCTAGCTGGCTAGCTCATGTGAAATCTTCCATTGAACAAAGCAAACGAAATTAGTATTCAACAATTATCAACAAATATATATATACATATATATATATTATTTGAAATTTTAAATTAAAGTACAGTTTTCTCGTTGTAAAATTGTGATGCTACCAATTAACCTGGTCTTTAAATCATCTAAGGCTACATTTGGTAGACAAATAGTCTAAGTTATAACTTATTTGGTTAGCTTATAAGTTTCCTGTATTTAAATAAGTTTTGTTTGGTAGGACGAACTTATTTAGAAACTCGAACTTATTTCATAAGTTTCTTTGAGTAGCTTTTCAAATAAGCTCGTTGAAATTTTTATTTCAGCTACCTTATCAGTTAATTTTACCAAATATTTTATTATATAAGTTAGTTTTTCAGTTATAAGTTATAACTAAGCTATAAGCTCAAAAATTACTGATAAACTATAAGCTAATTTATCAGCTAATTTTACTAAACATAGTCTAAAAATAAATTGACACGGTTAAATAATTTCAATTTATGAACCATGAAATTAAGAAAAACACCCTGCAGTGCATTTGTAGAGTTACACGCATGACAAGTAACTAGTTCAATTCGTCAACAATAAGTATTATCTCTCGTGTACACTAATTTATTTATTCAAAATCCATCGATATAATTACATGTTTCATTTGTGGATAGAATTCAATGCTTTTATATTTTAATTAAATTAATGAACTTTTGATGCATTTTTCCTATGAAGCAAATACCACATGTATAGAAAATAAAAACTTTTGCTATATAAATTAAACATAAATCTTTCTATCAATTTCATTGAAAAATATATATATCAAGAGAAGAATTAAAAATCAGTAAATTGAGAAGGAAAAAAAGTAATTGGTTGCCAGTTGATTCATTAAGTGAATAAGTGACTAAAAAATTCAGAATATACATAAAATATACTTTCATAATTTCAAATTTACAGTGGCCAAAATTTAGTAAAAAAGGACTATGACGAGACAAAACTGATGTGGCGCATGTATTATACGAGTTTTGGTCCTTTTGGATTGATCAAAGTCGTTTAAAGTAATGGTAGACAAAGCTGACGTGGCGTAGTACTCGTTGCACAATATCGGGGCGTCTGTTTCTTAAAGGCAAACAGATTTTATGTGATTCGGCTATATGTGTTTTATGACAATATAGAATTGTCAGTTAAGTTTTATTTTTATAATAAATTTATTTATTTACTAATAGAAATTTAGTTTCATCTCACGTTCCCGTGGTTGATGTTTGTGGTTTCTATTTACAAATTCTGAATACGTATATGTGTTGAAACTCGTTTTTAATCCGTCGTTTATAATTAATTTTTACAACAATATGTTTTTACTGTTAAAATATGTTCATGATCTTTTAAGTTTTACAGTCCCGAATTACAAAGACATGAATGACAAGAATATGTATTTAAGTGATTAAATTTCAGTGTTTTGTTTATGTATATTGGCATATTGCAACCTACATTGCAATATAACGACACACAATAATAATAATAATAATAATAATAATAATAATAATAATAATAATAATGACAATAAATAAGCTGGGATATTATTTTTTATTTACAGAAACGGACATTTTGTTTTTAGCGGCTGCCGCTCTATAATTTAATTCATTTAAAATAAAAAATAGGTGGTCCCAGGGACCCTCCAGCAATTACAAAGTTTTTAATTAATGGACCACTTTATAATGTCCGAAAACAGTCTAAAATCAATTGATCAAAACCCAGCTAAGAATTTGGCCTTTTAAGATTTGTCTCTATGACAGGACGGATTCCACAAGGTGGCTACAGTTTAGCTGTTGCGGATAATATATGAAGAGTCATAAATAATTAATAAATAAGTGCGCAAATTAAAGGTTTTTTTTTTTTTTTTTTAATTTTATCTAATATGTTGAAAATTAGTGATGTGCAAATTACTTAATAATTTAGTTCCTTTCTCAAAGAAGATAAAGCAACGTAACATCACTTAATGGGTGATGCATACACTTTATGACAGTGTTAAGAAATCTTTTCTTTTATATATTCATTCATAAGGAGAAAAAACAAAATATATATGACAAAAAATAGATTGTCAAACAGAGAGTTTAGGAGCAAAACATTAGGCTACCATAGTACCGTTGGATACCTAAATTTGTTGATATCACACAAGCGTGAATCATTGTATATTTAGTTAATAATTTATTTTATTCATGATCTAAAGTTATATCACTTTTTTAAAAAATTATTTTTTTTTACCTTTTTATCCAACTTTTTTAGACGAAGCATTTTTTTATATACAAAAAAAAAATGATTAAATACAATCGCACTTGCTTTAAATTCTTTTTTGTTTAACATTTTTAGTGTTTAATTTTAGGTTTATTCCTTTTTGCCCTTCCCATTGTTCGAACGTTTTAGGGGTTATTAAGG